TTCACGTCCTAGGCTCGGACTGTTCCAAATGTAAGCTATCCAAGCCCTCCTGATGCTCTCTGGACGCTCCAGCTTACCAACCCTGATGGCGACCTCTACAAGCCTGACTCAGAGTGCCTACACTGGCTTATGTGAGTCTGGCTCTTTGATTTTTTTTATACCTAGTTGTGGATTTTCCATTTGTTTCAGCCTGGAACGAGGGATAAACAGAGACCTCTTCATGTGGCCTCAACATACATGCATAATTTCTTGACGAACTATGACTTTTTAGCTATGCCAAAATAATAGCACTATCGAATCTTTCACCATCTACCTCTTTGTTATAATCTGAATCTATTAAGTTGGGTTCTAAGAAATTTTGATGAATATATGTTTATGTGTATGCTGTCTCTTATCATCCACAGAACCAACCAATACCTATAGAAAATATAGATACGTGTACGTTTTCTCATCCACAGAGCCAATATATGAAAATATATATATGTGTACGTTTTCTCTCCTCCACAGAACCAATATTCATGGGAACGACTTGAGCAGTGGGACTGAGGTGGTACCTTACTTACCACCCGTCCCACCCAAAGGTGTTGGCTACCAGCGCATGGTGTTTGTTCTGTACAGGCAGAGCGCGCCTCTGCCAGAACTGCAGCATCTTAAACCTAAGGATAATTTGTGAGAAAAATGCATGGCATGTGTGATAATTAATGAAATCTGTGAAAATTTATCATTTCGCTGAACAGACTAGCCTGAGGATGGTTCAATCTGTCCTGAAAAAAATTCCAGGGAGAATCACAAATCATTTTTTATCCAAATTTAACCGTAGAATGATTAAATATTGGGATTCCAAGACCTAGTGTTTTTGCAGTATTTCGACACGCAAATGTATGACATCACCATTTCAACCATCAATGAACGCATGGAACTAAAACAAAGCTTAACTATAAAGGAAAAGCTGGAGAGGTGACGGAATTACCTACGATGTTGGAATATACCGCGTTTACCCTATTAACATTGCTTAAAGATATTATAATGCATTTTTGACACTTAATTTGTAATTAGTTTTAAGATTCCAAATCAACATGACAAAAATGCTGAAAGCGACACGAATTTTTTCCTTCTCCTGTCTTCACCTCATAGTATGGCTGTATGCTGTATGGGCAATGCTCTATTGCAGAGGAAATGTTTTCCGTACAAGCTTGGGGTCATTCCGAGCTGAAACGCAATAAAAAGAGGTTCATATTGCTTCTACTCTAAATTTTAAAGACACTTTAATATAGTCATTAATTTATTCTAAATATACTTGGCGACTTGAGTGCATATAAATTTGGGATAAATGGCGAGGTTTGTATAGGATATTTGCTTCATGAGGCAGGACATGAAGGATAATTTTTGTTGCTAATTTATACTAACAATGTAATGGTAGTGTCAGAGTGTTGCCTAAAATAATTCAAGAATCGTTTCCCATTCATGTTCTTTCCCACAGAATAAGCAATTAGTTTTTAAAAATGTAAAATGACTGCAAAAGTCGCGCACAACACTCTTGCATCGATCAGAGTTACGCAAACGAATTGCATTGAATTACGAATTGAATTGCATTGACACTTCAATGCATTACAAATGCATTGAAGTGTCTGAGCTCGTTTGAATAAGCATGACACGAGTTGACTTTCTTACACATGATCTTAATAAGGTAAACTACCGCGTTAAATCTCATAAAATGAAAAGATTAAAACAAATAAAAACATTTCAAGCACTTAATTAAACTTTAAAGGATAAAACTCACGTCGGATGATAAATATTTACATATGTTATTTTGTGTGATCAAAACGAATGGTACATGCATTTGTTCAAGTATGTTAATACAATTATTTTTTACCATCAAGAAAATTTCATGAAAAGGAACAAAACTAAAATTGTGGAGGCAGAAAGGCATGGATAGGGCTCTTGCAGCCGCTGAGATTAGAATCTTCCCACATCAGCTGCTGCCCGTACGTTCAATGTGCCACGCAAGACACTCTCAGATCGCCTCTTGATAAGAGTCAAGGAAGACTCTACCGGCAAACCAACAGCATTGTCAGCAGAGCATGAGCTGTCGCTCTGTAATTACATTGAGTATGTGAATAATGGGACAAATAGAGGTTTTCCTATGACCGTGGCCCAAATTTCAATGTTTGCCTGGTCCATTGATCGTAGGTCCAAGAGACATTTTTGGAGAGAGAGGCCTCGCTACCGACGCTACGTATAGGGGTTGAAATTTAGTTCCAGAAAGCCTGAGTTGGTCAAACATCGGAAAGCTGAATGCTTAGATCACGGCCGAGCAATTTTTTCAACAAATGAAAATTGGATTGATTCTTTACGATTACTGCGAGATGCTCGTGAACGTTATAATGTTAGTGAACGTCCCCATGACATGGTGGTGGACCTCAACAAGTCCTCGCAGAATGATGTCTTGCCTCAGCGAGTGAAGAATTCTCATTCTCAGCACGTGACATTACAATAACACAGAAGCATTGATTGCTGCGTTTCACCGTACCGTGTTGCAATGGCTTCAATGATCATTTTTAAAGCCGCATTTCCAGAAGGCAGCTAATTAAGCTACCAAAATGTCTCCGATGAAGCTTTGGACGGCAAACAAGCAACTGTCTCCATTAATTGTGAACTTGTCGTACGGTGGCTCAAGTTAAGATTCTTTGCATTTGCCCAGCCATCAACAGATAAACCAAGATTTCTGTTGCTCGATAGTCACGCCTTGCATTGCTCCTGTAGATATTGCCTACGTCAGGCAGAACAACTTGACATTTCTACAGCGTCAATGCCAATACCGGTACCTACATATCCACAAAATATTAGCGATATATATCACAGCTTGTAACTTACAAGGATATGCATGAGAACTGAAGGTGCGCGTCGTGCATGCAGTCATTGACGGACATGAAGTCTTGAAACGCTTATAGTCTTATTCTTTCATCGATATATTCCTTCTTCTGTCATGGCCGGTGTAAAATCAAATATGTATAAATACATGGAGAAAATATAACAATATTTTACCATGATCTATTTCAGTATCAATGGCTGGAGCTATATAGGTGTCTGTGATGGTTGATATAGTAATATATAGCAATTTCAGCGTTTATTAGGATGTTCTACCCATCACCAATTCTTAGCATTGCAGAATTTTCACAGCTTGTTGCGATTTCAAACACGCACCTCAGTGCTCTAATTTTGCCGTGCTTAACCGCCTGGCCTTCTTGCTGATTTGACCAGAACTGTAGCATGGTAGCTGGGATCAAACCCGCACCTTACTGCTCCAGTCACACTATTCTGAACTGTAACCACTGGGCCACCTTACCCTTATATCTTGAACAATGCTGCTTTCTCGCTCAAGGCCGCGCGCACGTCCACGGTAAAAGCTGGTCTATGAGCCCCTTTCATGACACTAAAAACGCATCGATGAGCAGCTAAATATGCAAAGATTGCAAGAGGCCAGTAATGTGTGCTAACCAATCCTGCAAGAGGTTGTTAGCGCGAGACTTGTACAAACTACTCATGAGAGAGACCGTTTGCGACAGACTCACTAACTGCTCATGAAAGAGGCCATTTGCGTGAGACCCATTAACCACTCTTGAAAGAGGTCATTTGTGCGAGACCGATTAACCACTCTTGAAAGAGGTAATTTGCGTGAGACATTAAACACTCTTACAAGAGACCGTTTCTGCGTGTACCAAGCCAAACCAATCCTACATAAGGGTACGCACACAGTGGAAGCAGGTTGCCAGCGTGCTGGTTACCTACTCAGGCTGGCGCCTGAAACCATAGAATACAGAAGCATATTCGTACAGGTTTTCACTGTAAACACTTACATTATTATCCTATGTTCATTCTTGTGGCAGGTTGGAGCAGGTTGCCCGCGCGGGCAAACCTGCTTTCACTGTGTGCGTACCCTAAGCCATCTACGTGTGTCCTAAACTAACCTCACAGGTGAGAAGAAGACCCAACAAAATTGACACAGTCGTGTATGATACCACGAGCTCTGTAATATGGACCCTAGGTACATTGCTGAGAACACAAGATTTCTGTGTACCTAAGGCCCTTGTCGAAAGGGAACGATGTCGAGTTGATTAAGACGACGGAATACATTAAAGTCTTTCTCTTTATTTCTTGCAAGTCTGCGACATAGTTTTGTGGGTGTAGTTACTGGCTTTTAATATTTCAGTGTCTGGCAGCGGACTCTACAAAAGCATTTCAGCGGTCGAGATCTACTTGCGGGCAATGCGCTCTTTCTGTTGGCCATAATATTGGCCCTCGTGTTATAGATGGGGGTTGGGAATTACATTTTTTAGATTCAAAGAAATTGTTCACGCTGTGTACAAAGATATTCGCACTCAGAGTGATGAATTCTATTCGAATTGCTAACTAGTGTGCTTCACTGGGTACATGGTAACAGACTAATTTTTCATACGCAATGTTCATCCATGAAGTGTAATTTTTTGATAGAGTAGGAGCAAATGAATGGGATGAACATTGAACAGCCCTTCCAACATTGATGCAGTAAAAAGGACAGCTTTTACCAGTCACGAAATTGAATCTTACCGCAAATCCACTGAAATATGGTAGCTAGAAGAAAGATATATTCCTTGGAGTTTCATTTATTTTTGACCAAAAGCAATTTTTCATTTTACTCTAATATCTTACATAAAGACTGAAGTTGGAGGGTTGATTCCGCGTGAATTTGAGGCTTTCTCTACTGTACCTTACGAAGGCGCTATTCACGAAAAGACTGCAATAACCTCGCCAGGCTATGGCGACTTTAGTGTACCCTTTGTTAATATTGCTGGCGACTTTAAAGTAGGTACTATATACCTTGCCACTCCCGACGAGTCTTGCAAACTTCCATTTTATTATATGATCGAGCAATAAAAAAATGTAGTGACTTTTTTTTCTCAAAAGTCTGAACATAAGCCAACCCTGCGCAAGTGTTACATTTAATTTTTAGCTTCTTGGTGTTTCAAAATTTATTATCTAGCGGATTTTTCAAAAGTGGCGACTAATGTGGCATTGACAATAGGTATTATATACCGGTACCTATAATCTTTCATTCTTTGTAATGGTATTGTTTAGTGCCTGTTAATGGCCATTGGCCAAGATTGTAAATGTAAAACTTTGTAATCTAATTTTGCAGCTCAATCAAGCAGTTTTATTAAAATAAGAATGGCAGCCTATTGAACTTGGTAGCTCCAATGAAAGTGGTGCAGGTGCTGGTGGAATTGTGATTTGTGAGAACTGGGATAGCTGGTTTAGAAGGGAGATATTTCTATACCTGCTATTTAAATATTTATTTGGTAATACCCGTACTTTAGAATTTAGATTGAGTGCATCCAAGAAAAGGGGTGTTTTTTTAATTATATGTTTTTTGTGGTGTAAAGAATCTAAAATCCGTTTTTTGCGGTCGGCATCGGAAAACCAATTTTTTCCCCAAGGCTCTAATTCGCAAAAAAAAAATCGGGCAAAAATCAGCAAAATGGGCAAAAAAACCTAACCTAACCGTGGTTGCAATGTCGTGGTTGCCTGCAATGTTGTGGTTGCAAGAGTATATGGGTCACCAAGGCTAAGTTAAAAATGCTATAAATCCACAGCTATTGGGGCCAAGATTTAACTTGCATTTATCCTAGATG